ATCAGCATCCCGAGCCTGCAGCAGATTCTGAGAGCTGCTGTCTGTAACCGACAGCAGCAGCTCCTCCGAGTTCGCACGCCCGACTCCAACGGCCAGCACCGCCACACCTGAGACGTAAGAACATAGGCGAGTATTAAACAGGGACAATTTAACGGACCACTTGGATTGACGAATCGATTAAAACAGACAATAACGGAAACGAATCAGGGTATAGAATATGAAACCGTCGCGGCGGTATCGTCGAATATCGCATCGCAATGGTGCAGTATTACGTGTTACACCCCGAGATTGACACTTTTTCTTTTTTCTTTTAAGCACAGATTTTATCAGTGCATCCATATTAAATTGTCCCAGAACAGGCTCAAAAGACAAGGGGGCGTCAAGGTCACAGACATGAGTGCGATCACAGCAAATCAAACAAAAGCAACTGACGCAGTTCAACATGACGAAGTGGTGTCCCCAAATTCAACTGAAAATGCAACTTATAATGACTTCTCCAGTTTCAAAATTATTCACCCCCCTGAACAGAATCTCACAACAGCACAGATATACAAATCATCATGCTGTCTCTGAGGAAGCTGAAGTTTGGGCGTCATTGGACCTTCCAACAGGATAACGATCCCAAGCACACCTCGGATTCCACCAAGGCTTGGTTGCAGAAGAAGTCCTGGAAGATTCTACAGGACCTTCACAGTCACCTGACTTGAACCCTGTAGAAAATCTCCGCTGGGATTTGAAGAAGGCGGTTGCAGCACACAAACCCAAGAATATCACTGAACTGGAGATTATTGTTCATGAGGAACGGGAGAAGATTCTTCCAGAAGATCTGCATCTCATGTGCAGCAGGTCATAACAGCAAAAGGAGCTCTCCGAAGTACTAAAGATGCTCGCCATGAAGGAGTTGGATCCTTTTGTAACTGGACGAAGGCACGACCGACGTCACGCTGGCAAACATAGTCGCCTTTTGTACGTAGACTTTTGTCTACGTAAGTGGACCTGGGTGGACCTGCCTACTAACTAGTAACTTATCTAACGTTAGTGATGAACACGTTAAGACACGTTGAGAAACCTGACTGACCAGAATCCCTGAGTGCAGTCGCAGGACGCCGGATATCGTCTTCAGATTTCCTGTCAGCGATGATGACGACCACGCCCGGAACACCAGGCCTTCGACCCGCACTCGCACTCAACAGATACTGCGTGTGAACGCCAAGGCCTGACCTAAATGCACACGAACAGAAAAGAAAAGGCATTTTACTTTACAAAGCTCTGCCAAGGGAACTCCAAACAGTGAGGGTCGTGGAGATTTCAGGCAAGAAGGGTTGTTTGTTATTTATTTATTTATTTATTTATTTATTTCTTTATTTCCCCAAACACACCTATATTACTTCCTGGTCTGTCAGTAAATGGGGTGGAGACAATCTCCCTCAGGAGGGTTTCGCTGTTGCTATGCCGACTGAGGAGGAAGCGCACTTTGGGTTCAGCACCGTAGACCACCACCGCCACCTGAAGGAAGAAAGCAGTAGACGCAGCAGCGTAGTTAGAGACCACTTTACCTCGTGGTAATGTGCTCTAGAGCGGTTCAACTCTCTCTCTCTCTCTCTCTCTCTCTCTCTCTCTCTATATATATATATATATATATATATATATATATATATATATATATATATATATGAGTCTATTACACTGTAGAGTGAAGATTAACACCCTACCTACCTCTACCTACGTACCTCTTTAGAACGTTTATCCGTATAAAACAAAGTCACCAGTGTAGCCAGGCTGGTGTTTGACATATTGTCAGACCCACCTGGGAGTCCCGGGCTCCGATGGAGGTCAGTGATCCAGCAGCGCTCGCAAGCAGGGACAAAACAGGCTCCTCTAAGGCGGAGCGATCAAGGGTGGCGGGGACCAGGAACACCAAGTCCAAACGCCCGTCCACACACACTGAGAGAGAGAGAGAGAGGGGGGCAGAAATTAACATGGGGCTCACTCGACAACTCTTGAATAAATTATCATCATAAATAAATCATTATTATCGTCTAGTCCCAATTTTTCAACAATCACTCAATCTTCCTATACTACAAATAAATACAAATTTGGACTGACAATAAAACACATCTGGATATCTGGACAAATTCCATCAGTTCCTGCTTCGCTATTTAAACCCGCAGCGCTGTTCATCCTGAATTCTGATTGGACAGAAGCTGATTCATGTTCCATAACGGCAGCTCTGACAATAGTCCGATCTACAGATCGCGGCTTTACAACGAATGCTCTCCGTCCTGAAGACTACTTTCCTGTATTTTTCCGACGCACCGACACTGAAGACTCCTTCCATACGTGTTAAATAAACCTCACCTCACAGGAAACGCCGTTAAATCATTAACGATTAGTGTCCGATTACGTGGACATTTTTTTAACGCCATGCCAGCATTAAGGGCTACATTCATGTCAGGAGCAAAGTTATAAATAAACAGATGCATGAAAATAAACAAACGAACGAACAAACAAACAAGCACACAAAAGACAAACACAATTAGATAAGAGATATTGAAATTATGGAAATAAAATAATAAGTTACAAATCTTTATGAGTCGTTTGAGAGGTTATTATAGAAAATTAATCAACACCTTCTAACCTATTATTATAATAATTATTATTATTATTAGTATTATTATTAGTAGTAGTAGTAGTAGACGTATGTGTGCTACATTTTTATTTGAATCTTACCTACCTCTAAATTCGTTCATTATCATATTGGTCCAAACTTTAGAAGTGGGAATTTTCGCACCACACCTGGACAGGACTTGACCCATGCACTAGGTGGCAGTGTACACCTAAAGCACTGAGCAGAAATCTGAGGATAAACGTTCGAAATCGCATTGGATTCAGTACCTACTGCTCGGCTGTTGATGCAGTACGTACTGTTCAGTATACGTGTGTAGTATGAATGCAATCCGGACGTACTACATCCGCCATGTCGGCATGGTCATGTGACCTACAACGATGACCTACGACCTACGCTGTTTTTTTGATTCTGACAGCTCTTCCGCACCAGTCCCGTTGCCTTATGGAATAGCTCAGTGTGCACTCCAGAATCTCGGCGGAAGCAGTAGGTCGTCTGGGAATTTCTCTGTTTTATGAATACTGAGAATTCGGACACACTGGTACCGCTTCTCACCTACTGTATAGTGCGGTAGTAGGGCTATTCGGACGCAGCATCAGAGTGGGAACATGTTACTTTTTTCTACCTAGAAATTCTGAATTTGGTGATTAAAGAAGTAACTCTAACGCGAAACAAGAACCAGAAGTGTAAGACGTAGATGATGGAAATAAATATAAATCAAAGCGTGTAACCTGTGCGCTCTTCCACGACAGCCTCTGGGCCAGGGTAATCGTAGAACACAGGCTGCACGGTGAAACTGTACCGATGGCCCAGTCTCAGACTCGTCACACGGAACGAGCTAGTCGTGTCGGGTAGAGTGAGCGACTGGATGCTACCTGGGTCTGAAACCGACAAACAGCTGTTACACACGCTCGAATGAGAGCCATTTCGAGTTGCCTCGAAAAGCTCCACGTCTCACCTCTTTCATCCTGCCATCGCAGTATGTATCCAGTGGCACCTGATAACGGGCTCCATGCCAGCAGTACAGAATTCTGGGTAATGTCTACCACCCTGAGGTCGGTTACAGGCTGCTGTGGAGCTGAGAGATTGACGTATACACACACACACACACACACACACACGGGTACATTAATGTAAGACCAGGATGTGAGTGAAGTGTGAAATGTGTGTTTCACTCAGTACCAGTGGACTGTGTGATGGTGACAGGTAGACCTTCTCTGCCATTCGACACGGCAGCCAGCCGGATGGTGTAACTCAGGCCAGGACGGAGTCCTTCCAGCGTGTACGAGGTCACAGCTCCATCGATCAGAGAACTCGATTCGGTTTCACCTAAGAAGAGCAAGCGGACGTACTTTAAGGAAACGAAACACTACAGGTGACCCAGGGAACAGGTTTTGCCATTGCTGATATTCTTACAAGAATATTTGTATACGGTATATTTATCGCCTAGTGACACATCTGAATCGGCGTATTCGTTTTAAACACACCCCAAGTCCTTGGACGTCTCGACGGAAGCTTATGAGTTCGAATCCCAGCGCCGGGGACCTGCCGCTGCAAGGCCTTTAACACGCCTTTAACAAGGCGAATGTAAACATGTAAACGTTTACCTTCTGAGGAGCTCCAGTAGATTCTGTATCCCTCTGCACCTCGCACCGCTCTCCAAACTATACGCAGTGATCCCGGTGCTAACTGCTCGACACGCACTCCCTGCGGTCGCTCTTCATACACCGGCCCTGAAACACACGCATCGTCACCATCATACCCGTTACCACGTCAGCAGCTGTGCACGTGGACATGATGTACGCAGACTGACCTGTGGTGACCTTGACAGAAACCGGAGGTCCTTCTCTGTTCTGGACCAGAGCCATGACCTGAATGTCGTACTGAGCCCCTCCTTCCAGCTGCCTCAGATCCACTGATGTGATATTGCCGCCGACCAGCTGAGACCGCTCCTGTCCGCCTACACACCCCGAGACACATCGAATCAACGACAGGTTTATCACTGACACAAGTGCAACATCCAGCAAGACACGTACTGGTCCGAGCAAGACACGTACTGGCTCTGCTACAAACATCGTAACGTAATCCTAGTGTATGTTATCGTGCTAATCAATAGCCGACACGAAACGGCGGCGACGTGGTTGTATTTCACCACTAACCTGGAGCCTATCCCAGGGAGCATCGGGCACAAGGCGGGGTACACCCTGGACAGGGTGCCAGTCCATCACATTCACATTCACACTCACACACCCATTCATACACTACGGATACGCCAATCAGACTACCATGCATGTCTTTGGTCTGGGGGAGGAAACGGGAGTACCCGGAGGAAACCCTCGCAGCACGGGGAGAACATGCGAACTCCACACACACAGGGACACGGTGGGAATCGAACCCCCGACCCTGTAGGTGTGAGGCGAACGTGCTAACCACTAAGCCACCGTGCGTCCCCGTACTACAGTTTCAGAGCCTTTAGCACACACACAAACAGGGCATATTACATTAGTCGATCGTCTTCATTGATAGTCAGCTCGATCACTCACCGTCAGATCTCTTCCATATCACCCTGTACGCTGTTGCCCCCTGAACGCCAACCCAGCTGATCCTTACCACCTCCCCTCGAGACTCGTGGTGTAAGTTAGTAACAGCTCCGACCACGACCTCTTCTGTAACTGAGGACAGGAAAGAGCAGAGCGCGTGTCAAAATGTGCGTGTCAACCACACGTCAAAATTTGATTACAAATTTAACAATATGGATTCATTATTCGCCGGCTTATTCTATATATAGCACTCGATCAGATATAAAAAGGTATATAAAGACAATAAATATAATATTAAATACAGAATACTGTGATGTGTGTGTGTTTGTACCTGTCCTGGTGCTCTGGGTGGCAGCTGATCCCTCACGGGAGCCAATCAGAGCAGAGACAGATATTCTGTAGGTGGAGCCTTGCTGTAACCCGCGGATGGTGTAGGACGTGAATCCTGAAGATATGTTCTGGGAGTCTTCTGTTCCTGCGGGTAGAGAACACAGAGCGCTCGAGACGAATCCAGTACGAGTACCGCAGAAATAAATACGTCCGATACAAATTTCCCACGGTGACCTCATTTCCTGCCTACCGTCATTATGCTGCCAGCTGATTTTGTATCCCGTTGCTCTGGATACAGGATCCCAAGATATGCGAATCCGCGTGGAACCAACGTCGATGAACTGTAGACCTGTGACTGTCCCGACGTAGCCGTTTGTCCTGGTGGAGAGAGTCACCACGTCTCCGAGCTGACTGCCAGCCATCGCAGCCACGCCCACATTGACAGATTCATCAGGCTGTAGGCGTTCTATAGTGTAGGCATTGACGTCTGCGCCGAGCTCGTGGAACTGCTCCGGATCTGAATGAGAGAGAGAGAGAGAGAGAGAGAAAGGAGGATAACCTTTATTATCGAATATATTTTTGTCTACGACACCGATTTCAAACATTTAACCATACACATTCAGATCAAAAGGTTTTTAATGATCATGAGGAACATTTCAACATTCAAGTGTCCACAAACTTTTGACTGGTCATATATTCAGTGTATTTCATATACTTACTATTGCCTTGTTTCCAGGTGACTCTGTAACCTGTAGCCTCACTGACCACACTCCATGTGATCCGGATCCGTCGACTGTTCACATTCAGTAAACGCAGGTTCTTCACTTTGCTCGGAACTCGCGTTGTCGTAAAGTCTGTTAGGGAAACACGTCAGGCGGGAACTGCAATTATTCATGCGTTCATCGACCGATCCATCGCTACGATACTCAACACCTCTTCTCTGCACATCTATATATACAGTATATTGCTCCCCTCTGCATTCTGCACAGTAACGGTAAACATACACATTTTTTATGGAACTGGGTTACTATTTGAAGACTTTTTGATGATTTTAAAGACTTTAAACAATTTAAAACAGACAAAATACTTAACAAAACTATAAACTGCGATAAAACAAACCAGAGCTCAGATCGACTTTCGAGCAATATCAGTTCGGGGGTTGGGGGGAGAGATCGGAAGGGGGGTGGAAAGATCAGAAGGGGGGCGGAGAGATCGTGAGGGAGGTGAGAATTGTTTTCAAGAAAAAAAAAACCACAGACAGGCTTTTGAAGTAGAATGTGCATAAAGGAAAAACCCCGCGTTCCCTCTCCCGCTGTATTTTCTTTTTGCTGCGGAGAGGCGGAGCTTAGCCTGCCCTTTATCTCGCCGACAGCTTTAGCGACTTTTTTTGAAAAAAAAAAGCACTTAGCGACAAATCTATCGACGTTTTGGACAAAGCTTAGCAGCTTTCCAAATGTCGCCGGTATACTGTCCTGCAAGCGCGAGGTCTTGCTTCCCCTCTGCACTCTCACCTCTCTCTGCGTCTGCTCTGTTCGGTGAGGGGCCGAGAACCGGAGATTTAACAGCGCCATGGATAATGAGACGCGCCCGTCCTCGCCGTTTACTCCCATCCTTCACATGCGGATGTTTTTAGAACGCAAGACGAGTGGAATGCAACATGTTTTACATGTAAAATAATCCACGTTATTACAGCCTGGTTCTCTTGTTCAGAGTAGTTCCAGTGTTCACTCATGGTCCATACCTGTCCGTTATATAGTTTTATAAAGGTCATAGAAGTTCTTTTTAAAAAAGCATAAAAGTTATGAAAAGTAATAAAAAAAAAACTACAAAAACACAAAAGAAAAAATATCTATCTATTTATCTATCTATCTATCTATCTTTCTATCTATCTATCTGTCTATCTATCAAACTGTCTATCTATCTATCTGTCTATCTGTCTGTCTGTCTATCTATCTATCTGTCTATCTGTCTGTCTGTCTGTCTGTCTGTCTATCTATCTGTCTATCTGTCTGTCTGTCTGTCTGTCTGTCTGTCTGTCTATCTATCTATCTATCTACCTATCTATCTATTATACCACATGATAGGGGAGGCTTGGGGGGGCTTTAGTTGCGATCTGAATCCCCATGGTTGTGCAACAATTTTTATACATTTGCAACAATTACTTCTAAAGGCTATTGAAGTTTTTTTTATTCAAAACCTCTACTGATTATCAAACATGTCTGCCAGTAGAAACATCCACCGATGGCTGGAACCAAAGATGACGGCAATACAACGGTCTATAACGGAAACAGTTAGTGCGAAGTGGGAAGATACGCTTTGGATAGGATTCTAGTTGATCACCATACAAGAGACGTTCACACGCTTGTTCACACATATGGGGAACTTTAAAGCCACCAATCCACCGACTGGCATGTTTTTAGGAGGTGGAAGGAACCTAGAAAATCCAGAGGAAACCTATGCGAACATATGAAGAACGTGTGAAGAACTCTTCACAGAGAGCCACCTGGGATCAGGATCGAACCCTGGACCTAAATACATAGCGGTGCTTGATATACCGGTAAAAGTGAGACACAAATATCATACCCTCATACACCTTTTTTTAAAACATCAAAACATGAACCTATTTTTTTATTTGTATGCCCAGCTGGATGCTCACTGTCTGAGCTCGGACCGGGGCGAAGACATCTGTTTTCGGGTTTAAAAGTCAAAGAAAAGCAGAAGATGGAAAACTCCAGACCACATGTTTGTTTACGCAGGGCGCTTCGTCCTGTTTACCCGCTGTAATGTTACACGACTAAACACACACAAGCAGACAGACAAGCAAGCAAACACACACACACACACACACAAACCTGGTGTAATGTTGATGGTTGCCGGAGGTCCCTCACTGTAGCCCACCGAGGCAGTCACACTCACAGAGTAAGACACACCTCCTGTAAGGTCACGGAGGTCAAACGTCGTCTGATTTCCATAAATGACACGTTTTACCTCAGACCCAGCTGGACAGAAAGATACGACACAGCATCAACACACATACACACACACACGAGTGTGTACACGCTCTGTACTTTCGTGTAGTGTAAAGCGTGTTCTTACACTCCGTGTTGAGGATAAGGATGTTGTACTGTGTTGCCCCGGCGACCCCGGTCCACGCCAGCCGTACGGTGCGTCCTACTATCTCCATCATTCGCAGGTTGGTGATTCTTCCAACCAAAGGTAACGCTACGCACAGCATTCACACAGTAATCAACTCACATGCAGTTATAAATCTAACCTATCTGCTTCATGCTCCACATCATCATCCCTGACAGACCATCTTACAGTACCCATACAGGTCAAAAACTGGGCCGTGAATAATTCCTTACAAAGGTCAGCACTCATGTTGTCCTGTGAGCTAGTTAGTTAACTAGCATTTATCTTCAATTAACTAGCATTTATCTTCAGTTAACTAGCATTTATCTTCAGTTAACTAGCATTTATCTTCAGTTAATAAGCATTTATCTTCAGTTAACAAGCATTTATCTTCAGTTAACAAGCATTTATCTTCCGATAACTAGCATTTATCTTCAGTTAACGAGCATTTATCGTTAGTTAATAAGCATTTATCTTCAGTTAACTAGCATTTATTTTCAGTTAACTAGCATTTATCTTCAGATAACTAGCATTTATCTTCAGATAACTAGCATTTATCTTCAGTTAACTAGCATTTATCTTCAGATAACTAGCATTTATCTTCAGTTAACTAGCATTTATCTTCAGTTAACTAGCATTTATCTTCAGATAACTAGCATTTATCTTCAGTTAACTAGCATTTATCTTCCGATAACTAGCATTTATCTTCAGTTAACGAGCATTTATCGTTAGTTAATAAGCATTTATCTTCAGTTAACTAGCATTTATCTTCAGATTAAATTAGCATTTATCTTCATAATAACTACGCATTTATCTTCAGTTAACTAGCATTTATCTTTAGTTAATAAGCATTTATCTTCAGTTAACAAGCATTTATCTTCCGATAACTAGCATTTATCTTCAGTTAACGAGCATTTATCGTTAGTTAATAAGCATTTATCTTCAGTTAACTAGCATTTATCTTCAGATAACTAGCATTTATCTTCAGTTAACTAGCATTTATCTTCAGATAACTAGCATTTATCTTCAGATAAATAGCATTTATCTTCAGTTAACTAGCATTTATCTTTAGTTAACGAGCATTTATCTTCAGATAACTAGCATTTATCTTCAGATAACTAGCATTTATCTTCAGTTAACTAGCATTTATCTTCAGTTAACTAGCATTTATCTTCAGATAACTAGCATTTATCTTCAGATAACTAGCATTTATCTTCAGTTAACTAGCATTTATCTTCAGATAACTAGCATTTATCTTCATATAACTAGCATTTATCTTCAGATAACTAGCATTTATCTTCAGATAACTAGCATTTATCTTCAGATAAATAGCATTTATCTTCAGTTAACTAGCATTTATCTTCAGATAACTAGCATTTATCTTCAGATAACTAGCATTTATCTTTAGTTAACGAGCATTTATCTTCAGATAACTAGCATTTATCTTC